ATATACAAACACACCCATAATTTTTCAGAACTTTTTCAGTACTGCTGCCTGATTTTTGAGTCACGATTTCTTTTGTACGCTAAAATACATTCTTCGTGAAACGTTCCATTACTGAGACGCTACAACTTTCCCTTTTCAAAATATAATACTACATCTTAGTTTTCATTCATTATCCTCTGTAGTAAACTGAAGCAAGTTAACATTAATCCATACATTATTAATTGGCTTATTAGTTTTTTAAATCATAGAGAGCAGAGAGTTGTTGCCTATGGTCACAGTACTGAATATGTTTCTATAAATAGGGATGTTCCTCAAAGTACAGTCCTGGGGCCGGTCTTATTTTCTATTTTATTAACGATATCAAAGCTGTTAATACTAATAAGAATCTTCGAGTTAAATTTGCTGATGATTTAACTGCTAGTTTACCGATTGAGGCAAATATAGGCTTAGATGAATCCGAAACGGAAGTCCTATCCTTTATTGAATGGTCCGAGAAGAACTGCATGAAAGGGAGGAAAGAAAAACTGAAACTATTGGGTGTTACCTTTGAGCAAGTGCCTGTTAATTGGGACACTCATATTGATTATTTACTTAGTAAGGCTAGCAGTAGGTTGTACATTTTAAAAATATGTAAATATTATGGCTACTCTATTGAGAATTTGGACTTACTTTTTCAAAGTTTGATCCTTTCAGTTTTTACATATGCTATTGAGGTCTGTGGGTATGCTTTTTATAGTAAATATTTAAGTAGAATTGATAAGCTCTTTGCCAGGTGTTATAAGCTGGGTTACTGTTTAAAACAGCACAGTATCTTGGATATCCGTCGTAATAGAGATATGAAGTTATGGTGAAGGATCTCTTCCACCAACACTGCGTTGAGCGATCTCTTACCTCCCCAGAGAACACGGCAGTTGAGAACCAGGTCGCATAATTATATTTTACATAAGGTTCAAACAAGTCGTTTTAAATCAGTTTTTATTAACAGATGTCTTTTAAATAGTAACTAATATTTTTTCTTTTCCCTTATTCATTCTATTGTCATGTTAATTGTTACACGTCTGTTTGCACAATAATTCTTAATAAAGACCTTTATTATTATCATTATTATTATTCCGTGTAAGTTTTAAACATAATGTTTTAGTAAAATCGCCACCGGTGGCGATTTCACTTTGAGTGGTGGCGAGTTTTTTATGGTGGCGAATTAACCGTGAACCGTGTTTGCCCGCCTGAATACAAGGGTATCAACTGTGAGAAAAAAATCATGAAGTACTTCCATGAAAATGTCAACCACACCCATTAAGTTGTCTATCGATGAATCGTACTCTCAGTCCTATTCAACTAGACATCCGTCTGTCTTCCCCACGATCCAGGTGTCTGCCTTTCCTTTTATTCCTCTCTGCCTCTCTGTCTTATGATCGGCATCTCGGCTTTCAATGATGAAACGAACTTATTATATGTTTAATGGTTCTCTTCCCAGAAAAATGGATACAGATGACGCCATCAACTGTTTGCTTTGGAGCAAAAGATGATTCTTATGGTTTCTTTAAAACTAACCAAACAGGTAACATAATAACATTCAAATTAACCTACCAATCTGGATACGTGACCTGCCGTGAAAGGGACCCAACCTATCAGTCCAAATGGGGATGCCTTTGGCCCAAATTGATCCCCAACCAAATGGCCACGATGATAACTGACACAAACCGTAATCTTCTTCTGCCAACCAATTACTACCTAACGGATTATCAGAGCTGTAAGTTTTACAGCCTGCCTTGGGCCACAACCGAATCGCCAGAACTTCTCTTCGATAATTTTTCTACCCCGCTGAAGACAGAAGCGAATCAAGAATTCCAAATCTGGTACAGCGAGGACTTGTTCAACTGGCATGACACCAATAATGGGCGCGAAAAGACGTGTGTTGCGGTGCATGGGCTGTATGTTTGAGTGGCAGAATCGTAGTCTCGCGCTTTTTATTTTTGTCGAGTTCCGTGGCGTGACTTTTTATACTTACTGCAACTCTCCCTATTTCTGCAGCAGCCGCACATTTTCTTAAAAGCAATTGCTTGCCTCGATCTTGAAGAGTAAACTATGTCCAAAGAAACTGAGGAGACAAAACGAGAGGTTCATTCAATCTTCTCATTCCATCGACTCCTTCTATTACATAGTCTTTAGTCTTGGTGAAAGTATTGAGATAAGGTTGCTTACCACCCAGGTTACTCAGCCTGTCGGAGGTAATCCTGTCCAGGCCTTGGAGCCGGTCAATATCGCGAGATCGACTCAAAAAAACTCTCTCTAATGGAAGTCTGTTTACCCAGGCATCCAGGAGACTATGACGGACAAAGTAGAGATAAATTATGTTTATGAGGAAATGCTTTGTCTTGAGTGGGGGGTTTCCGCCTGAGATTCATGGGAGTCGCCATGTTCCTGCCTACGACCCGATCGTGACTAGTTGTCTCTTTATGACTTTTTGATTAGGTTTAGAGTAAAATAAGCGGGTTGCTATTTTGAATTGATCCATGCAAATTTAATGCACCCGGTGAGTCGCGATTGAAAAACTTCAACATTCCTTTCAATCCACAGATGAACTGATGTGAA